ACACCATCCCATGAAGCAGATTTCCAGATGTTTGGAAACATTAGAATTTCCTGTCAGTATATTTAGGTAACATTAAAATGAGGTTAACTTTCCATTCTGCCATCTCTCTTCAAAGATCAAAGAGGGCTCACTGCATAAATTGCCTTATCAGTAATTCGTTGAAGTAAACTATGGAAACAACTTTATAAGAAGCAGTAGTCTCCTTTTGTTGGTTACAGTATGACCAAGTGAGCTTTCCTTAAAATGTTACATATTTTTACCTCATTTTAAGCTCAACACAAAGAGAACAATTTAAAATGCTATGTTTGAATATGGCTAGAATAGAGAACTGAAAACTCCTTCCCTGTGTTCAACTAAATTGTATTAATTCATGCAATGTCTCATAAAATAAGGATCAATAAACAGAAATGTAATCAACAAAATGCTATGTTTGTATTGCTAATTTTAAAAAAATATATTTGGGGATGGTTTTCTAGGTTTGAACACAACATTATCTTTGAAATTCATACTGCATCCCTAGAGGCAAAAATTCAGATATTACAATACCCCCCCCCCAAAAAAAAAAAAAAAAAAAAATAATTTAAATATTGCCTGTATTAAATACTTCTGGAGGCTGTAGCTGCAAAATAGCATGAGATTTCTCTGCTCTTGGGAAATTATTAGGGGTTTTTGGGAGGTAGGTACGGGTTTTCTTTTTGTCTGCCTAATAATTTCTGTTTAAGGAAAAGTAGTGCTACTGGAAGAGAGATTAGAGAATTTTTGGCAATACTGTAAGAGTTTACTGTGCAGCTCATATAATGTTTCAGACACATAAAATACATGCCTTTCGCTGGAACTTGGGGTTTTGTAAGGGAGTGCTGGGTGGTTTCTTCATTTTCTTTTAAAGATGAGCTCTTTTCAGTTATCTTAAAGCTACTGTAGAAAGACCATTTTCAAAATGCAATTTTTTTTTAATTACCAAGATTATAACAGGTGTAAAAATAGGTGGTTGGTTTTTTTGTGTTGGTTTTGTTTTGTTGTTTGGTTTGGGTTTTTTTTAATCACTGATCTAGTCTTATATATACATTCTCTTGAAATATCTTTAAGACGGACCCTGCAAGTTTCAAGAAATTAAGGCAGCAACTTCAGCTGGATTTCAGTGTGAGCTGAGTGACTTATTTTCTTCTTTGCAAAATATAACTTTAATAAATACTTATCGGCTTATTACAAGGTTTCTTTCTAAATCCCAGTCTAGAAAAACATCTCTTAAGAAAGTGTTTGATATGGACAAGAACTGATAGCTTCTGCCAGTTCCAGTTCTGTGCACTTCTATGTCAAAAGGTTGCTTTCTTGAAATTATATCTAGTTTCTTTTTTTTTTTTTTTTTTTGCTGTTTTAATGGATTTGAAACATTTTCTGACTGTCTAACTGACAGACTCCTCATGCCTTAAAAAGAGTTTTAAATTAAATATCTGGAAATTAACTTCATTTCATAGTGATTTTGCTGAGTCTTTGAAAAAATAATTTGAGTTTTGATTTTTTTAAAATATGTTGAATCATTAAGTATTAATTTATTAATCTCTCCTTTTGATATGATTTTTTAACGATACCAGACATAGTTTTATGTCATATAATTTTTTATTCAGTTTGTTGTCTGGTTTTAAAGAGACAAGGTTTATTGTTTTTTTCTTTTTACTGTTATTTGGAGAGGCTGTCTTATTTGAAAACCTTTTTGAGGTTGTCTTGAAATACGAAAATAGAACATCTGTGACAGATCTGTTTTGAACATATTTCACATTTCAGGATCCAAGGAGATCTGGTGGTCTGTGGTATTCGCTTGTTAATTTATTGATGAATGGGTAGAAAGGCCACGAAGTGCACTCAGTACAGCACGTCTTCCAAAGATAGATGATCTCAAATAAATTCTATTCCCAATCAGTTTTTGATTTGTTAGGTGTTAAACCATTTCTTTGTAAGGACAGTGTTTACAAGCCTTGTAATGAGACAGCCCTGAGAGACCTTACTCTTCTTGCTGTAATTTTGATAAATGGAACTCTAATTCATAAAGGATATAGTGATTGAAGGGCAACTCTGGGTCTCGTACACTTTCATTTAGATAAATGTACACCTCAGTACAGCAAAACTGAGGTGCACTCAACAAAGTGATAAATTTAAACAACAGCCAAACCAGAGCTTTTTTTTCATCAAGACAAAGAAGCACCATTTGCCATATTTCTTTTAGATAAATGTATGTTTAATATTATAAACCAGAATGGATTTTAGAAACATTTGTCTTGCTGCTAAGCTCCAAATTTGCCAAACTAATTTAATGCCTTCTATTTTACCATGTTTCCTAAATTGGTGTATGGCAGTGTTTCTGTAATCTGGTAACTGGAGCCCTCATCAGAAAGAATTTAAAAGACACTGCATTTTAGATTCTTCTGATGCATTTTAAGTCTTAGTAACAATTTGGGTTTGGACCACTTTTTCTTGTAATTTCAAAAATATATCTGCTTGCATAAATAATGTTAAATAACTGTCATTAATCTAACCAGTTACAACAGAAATGGTTGACTCTACAATTCATCCAGATTAGTACTTTTGAAGTTACTCACTTTTAGATTATCACATTTCATAAAGCTCAGACACTTTTGCAACACTCACTAGAACTAGCAAAAAGAGAACAGTATTTTCATGCTTCCTTCTTCTATCATGTTCGTTCATCCCAGGCCCCATCTCCTTTAGTGTCAAATCCTTGATAGAAGGAGCTACTGCTTGCTAAGTAAACACAAGTGTAAAAAGATCCAGAACAATTCTGATGTAGTAAAACTGAAGGTCTGTTACAGCACATTACTCTTTTGTGTTTTACCAAAACTCCTACAATTACTTTGTGTTAATTATGAAAGAAAAACCCCAAACAAGCAAAACAAACTAACAAAAACAAAAGCAAAAACAACAACAAAAAAACAGAAAAAAACAACCTAATAAGCAAAGAAAAAATCCCGAAATGTACAAAAACTTTTCCAATAATTAATTACTTTGATTTTAAATTAGATGGATAATTGCAGTTATTTGTACTAATTAGTAACCTATGCAAGAGTGGTAGGGATCACAGCCTAACAGCTGAGCACAGCAGATCACAGTGTATTTGTAGATATTGTCTTAATCACTATCAGAATCAGTATGGTCCCAATGAAGAGAGCAACAAATAGGAAGATTAGAGATGTTGTCCTTAATTTTGGGCATGGTGAAAAAAAATGAGGGTTTGCTTATTTGGTTGTCTTTACCTTGCTCTGTGGTTTCAGAAATAGCAATTGGGAAAACAGCGATAGTATACAAAGATTAATATTAGGTAAGGTAAGACATGAGGTTGTCTCAACCTGTACGGGTCCAATATCAAGTGGTATGCTAACAGTGATCTTCAGAGTAAACACACTAACTGAAAAATATACCTCCAGCATTTTTATTTATATGATGTGACTCTCCTATGCTCAAACTAATTAAAAGACTTATAAGAATAGAAGATAAAATCATAACACCTTCCCCACTGTTAGTAATTAAAAAAATGCCTGACACATCAGTTCCATTCCATCCATCGGTCTGCACTAACTGATCTGCTTACTATATTCCTCTTTATTGTCCTGTACTAACATGAGGCCAAGCATCTTCCATTGGGCTTTAAATAATGATTTTACATCTGCCATAATACTCATCATCATGTGAAGTTCAGGCCTTGTGGAAGACAAACAAAATCCACACATGCCTGGTTTTGCCCTAACGTCACTCATTTTTCTGTATCTTAGTAGTAAGCAAATCTCCAAAATATCATACAGAAAGGAGAGATGAGATTTGGGCTTTATTTCTTGACTGGCAGAACTGGAATGCCCGTATCTTTTACAGTCCAAAGTGAAAATTCAGGGTTTCTGTTTAGGAAAAAGACAAAAAACTTTCTTTCCTGAGGTTACTGTGAATTTGTAGTACTGCATACAAAACTAATGACCTCTCCCCATCTAACAGAAAACACCATGCAGATGTCACAACAGTCCGTGAAAGCTATTTATGATATGAAAGTTTCTATCATCTGACCACACTATGATTAATTTCTTATAGCATGCAAATAAACTCTGTCAAGTGCTAGTAGCACCTTCCCAAAATATAAGATAGTATATCTCCTGCCATAAGGAGCCATCAGTCTGAATACAAGAAGTCAGTTGTAGGCAAGAAGAAAGGGTAAGACATTCCTATGAAGTCCTTTGAGGTAATTGGCACATGTCCATACATCAACATTTTTTATTGTGCTTCTTAAAAACACACACACACAGATGCACACCAAAGTTCCCTCACCATGCTTGTTGGTTTATTGTCTTTTTTGGATCTCTGCATACCCTGTCTTGTTGTTACACTATGCTGAGACAATCCATCTCCTGCTTCACCATCCTGTTTGTCCTATCTCTAAGATTAAAATAATGACAAATTTTGAATTCTCAAACGTAACTCCGTTCTTTAGAGTAGGTGGCATGAGCTCTAAGAGGTCAGTCAAAGTCAAGATACCAGGAACCCAAGAGAAACTCC